CTGCCCAAATTTTCCCAGGATCATCCCTTTATTGAGGTTGCTGTCCCATGAAATCTGTAAGGATGTTCAGTACACACTGCCAGCTGTCCAGTTACATGGGCCCAGGATCATCCTGGATGTTCCATTTTTTTTATACCTCAGAAGTGCCAATTTATGCCAACTATATTTCACCCAGGGAGTCCCCCTTTATGGTGGAATTTCCCAGCTGGCCTCCTACGCTGGGTTTCTAGCCATTGTGTTTGCAGAGTGACACAAAAGGACCATAGCAGAATAAAAAAATTGGCCCATGGTTTGCACTTCTGATTTAATAGTATTAGTGGGGTATTTCCTATACTATCTACTTCCCCTCTGCCTTCTACTGATACTGGATTAACCTATCATCAAAAGGCCAGGTCCCCCCGCAAATTTGCATTCCTTTTGTCTTGCATCAAACACAAACTTTCTTTTCTTAAAGGGAACAGAGCATGGTTCTCAGTGTTTAGAGTCAAATTGGCCTAGAAAATATTGTTTACTGAATACAAAAGCTATAAGCACAGAAGAGGGAAAAAGGAAAAACATAAGGAAAAATCTAATTATTTACTTGAAAAGTTTCTGTCATTTAATAAAAGAATTCCAGTGCTGCAAAAATAATGAGCAAAAAAAGGGCAATTAGGGAAGTGGATATGTTTTGACATGAGTCCCAGGCCAATAACTGCAAAGCAATTTTGTGGATGAAACCAAAGAAAAGCCACATCATTTATTTCTGAATTCATTTCACCCAACCATGAGAAAACAGGGAGGAGGTTGTTAAAGGTTTTAATTAAACCCATTACTGAACATTCTATATTTACACAGCTAGCCTACTTTTTGGAATACTGCCTGGTCTAATGTCACTGGCAAACAGAATTATATGAATATAATTGGGGAGAAAATCAACTACCATTACAATGATAGGAGAGCCAACCTTACTAAAGTCAACGGCAATTTTTCTACCAGATGCTAAGGAGGCAGGATTGGCCCCCTTTGCCTTAGTTTCCTTGGTGTGGGCATGCCACGTGGGAGGATGGTTTTGGCAGAGAGGGAAATCAAATCTGTTACATGGTTGCTATTAGAGCCCCAGTCCTACAAGGGGATTGTTACTCCTTCACCAAGTCCCATTAACTTCCCTTTGCAGAATCAGGGCCTAAGGTTGGGACCTGAAGTCCATTGAAGTCTTTCTGTTGATTTCTATAGGCTTTGTAACAGGTAAGTTAGTAGTAGAAGAGTTCCTTTTCTAATGCAGTTGCTTTATGTCGCTGTTAATCAAATTTGTGGGGAAATGAGGCACAAAGAGATGAACTGACTTGCCCGAGGCGCTACAGGGAGTCTGTGGCAGATCCAGGAATTGAACCCAGATCATCTGATCCCAGGCCAGAGCCTTAACTACAAACGCCAGCTTTCCTCTCCAGAAGGAGCTGCTGGATGTCATCTCTCACATCATACAGCTGTGCTGAAAGGAACTCACATCTGGAATTATTACTACTACAATGATGATAAATGCTGAAGTTAATAGTCATGATAAACTAATTCAAGGGGAAGACATTTTTATATGAGCACACAGAATAGGCACTTTAGGATGTGTCCATTTTTAATGTCTAGTTAGCAGCTTAAAGTTATGAAGATTGGTTTTTGCTTTAAGAGTGCAGTAAATATTGAACTAAGCCTGTCTCTGAGGTGTAATTGCTAAATATCATCTCACTGAAAGTTGCATTTAATTTTTCATGGTGACTTGTTTTTCTTCTGAAATATTATGCGTGTGTTTTATAGCACAACAATTTTCACTGTCCAGAAGAATTCCCACAAGAAATCTCAGAAAGCTACTGGCTTTAACGACAATATGATCTGATAGATTAGATGTACAAACCAGGCATAATATATTGCCCTGCAGAAAGATGGGCAGGAACTAAACTATCTTTGTGAAAGATTCTTTTGAAAAAATATGAACTAATGTTTTATTTCAGTCACTTTATAAACTGAAAGCACGGTCATTGCTAACTATACAAAGTAATGGAGTTCTCCTTTAGAACAGTGCCTCAGACTGGACCTAGCAGCTAGAAATATAAGGGGAATAACAAAATGCTCTCTGCTTTACACCCAATCTTTAAAATGGACACTACTTTATGTCATGCAATGTTCACAAACAATTTGGGTTTGTGCATAGTTTACACTGACAGACGACTGTGTGGCATACTTCCAAGGATGGAGTTGAGCTAAAAATTATCTATTTTTTAGACATGCGTTTCCTAATCTATGTTACTAACAACATTTGGTTAACAAAATTGATTTTTAAAGAACAAAATTGCTTTTCTCTACTTGGGCTTTTTGTTTATCTTTTGTGTTTTTCTCAACATAAACAATGAAAAAAGAACCTCAAAGTGACTAGATACAAAAGTGAAACTGGTTAATCTATCTATCCATCATTCCCTAGAGTAGAGATAACCTAATTCCTGATTGAAACTTCTCTAGTTGCAGCAATCATGCTAGCCTCTCCTTGACATGCCCATTCCCCTTATCACCTCCAACACGCCCCCTACGCAGAGGGCAGAGTGAACAGATGGCCAGGATTAGGGCAGCGCAACAGCCATCCATGAGACCAAGACGCCAGCCCACATGTTCTTGCATAGCAAAGCCATTTTAATGTGTTTGGAATGGAGTTTTGCAAAGTAGTTAGGCATTCCCGCTGGTCAAAGAAATAAACCAGCTCAAGATTCCAGCATACTGTGCTCATGGCCACAATATTTGAATACCCTATTGCTGTGTCAATGGAAGCTTTGCTACCTTGTTGTTGCTGATTAGTCCATTCTAGTTCAATGAATTCATTGGAGCTATGGGCCGGATCCAGTATCCATTGAAATCAGTCAGAGTCTTTTGCTATTATTCTCAACAAGTGCTGGATTAGGCTTTACATGCATTCCATTAACTAAAAATAGACTAGGAAAGAACATCCTTCATTTCAGCACACTAATTCCTTTCACAACAAGGAAATAATCCACTGAAAAAGTCTAAACCCTCCTGGACTGTGGTATTTCCATCACACCACTCCATCAGGACCAAACAAGGTAGAAATAGATATCAAAAGCAAATGTTTGTTCTATAAACAATTAAGTGACTTTATAATCTATTCCCATGATGTTCAAAGGTTAACTTTATTGGCCTAAGAGTTGACCTTCATATTCATAATCAGGAATCAGAAACCACTTACTGCAGATTCATAGCTATGTACACCAAGAAGCGATCAACATGAGAAGCACCCTCTCTAATATAAATACAGGCACAAAGCACCATATCCATTTATATCCTCTAGCAAGAGCATCTGTTAAGAAAAATCTGTCAGACCCAATGTTCCTCTCATGCTACCAAATCCTCCTTTGTAAGGCCAGTACCTTCATCATCCAAAGTCAATAGGTGTTCTAAAAAGCATCTTAATAGCTCATTCAAACCCTTGCTTTATCTTGCATTCTCAAAAGTTAATTATGATAAATGAATGCTGTACTGCAAAACACTACAGCATTTTGAGGTTACATTAACTGCCATTAGCAGGTGAATAGACACTATAATGCTTGTGCATTTTAGTTGTGTTAGAGAGTTAAAAAAAAATGTTCAGATTTAAATTCTACCCCAGCAACAAGGCTGATCACAAGCCACTAATACATGTTAAAGGCTTCTTCCTTCCTGCTTTTCCAGTGCTAAGGAGAGTTCATCAAAACTAATCATAATTTCTGTTTTAACTCCTCAGAATTCTCTTTCCACTTTATTCCTAAACCAATAAACCATCTTAGTTGTTTAAACAATGAAAATTATCTACCAAATTCTTCTATCGTGTCCAGCACTGCAACATCTAAACAACGAGCATGCAAGGTTAGATTTGTCAGTGCCAGTTGGGACATTGGCATGCAGATCTAGCTGTCATAGCTTTTAAAGCAAGATAAATGGTGACTGCGGATTATTCACAGCAGTTGTCAGATATTAGAGAAAAGGAACATCAATGCTCATCCAGCCTGTTTTCTTCCCCACTTATGGGATGTGGAAGTTTATTTTTAAAAGCAATTTGTACATCTTAAATTTCTTTTAAGTGTCAAAGGATGTATGGGTAATATTATATTTCTGGACATAGATGCTGGTAAAGATTTTTTACTGATATTATTGACCATAAAGTAGATTTTAAAAGCCAAGAGATTTAGGAGCACAATACCTGTTAAAAGTCAATGGTATTTGTGCACCTTAATTGCTTACATGATTTCAAGTTTTCCCTGCCCACACTGATAGATATTATAGCTACTGAGCAGTTACATGGCTTTGGAGTTACTTTTTGAGCCTCCTTAAGGAAAGACTTTGGGATTGGGCTCTGTGGGTCTGAAACTGGTCATGATATAATCCACACTCAAGTTTAAACACAGCAAGCAAAACCCATTGTTTACATCATAACTGCTAGTCACACAGTATAAGCTGAATCCCTATTTAAATCCCCAGGAGCTGAACAACTATTGAGGGTGGGAGCTGGGGACACATCAGTCATTGGAATTATCTTACCAACCCAACGTAGGATGGATGTGGGCAGCCAAGGGGTGTGGAGACAACATACGTTAGGTGTACCTAATGGTACCTGCACATCACAGTCCATGTACTAGACCAAGGACCTGACCAACTTCTTGAGCCAGCAGTGTGCACCCTCCCAGTATTTCGGCACTGAGCCACAGTATTTCGGCACCAGTGGAAAGCCTAGCACAAAGCTGCAGTCATCACTGAGTGCTGAATGGGAAGGCAGAGTCACCGTATAACCCTCTTTTCTACTGTTGCATCCATCCAGAAAAGGTCAGGACCCTGTCCTTACTAATGAAATGGGCAAGAGGGTAAGGTGGACTTGCAGGAGTCCATGCCTGGCCAATTAAAGCACTATAACCATATCAAAAAGCTTGCGAATAGCACAGACCCTGGAGGGCCACACTTGACAAAGCTGTGCCTTAGAATGCAAATTAACTTACTTGGAAACAAGAGAGAAAGCCTCCAAACAAATGGCTGGGCAGTGGACAAGCCTGATTAAGATGTGGCCCAGTGCAGCAGGGAAATGGGCTCGGGTCACCTTCTCAAACACGGAACTGAAGGTGTTGATGTCAGCCATCTTGCAGTTCTGGTCTCCTCCTCCTGTATCTAAGATGTTGCCCCCATGTAGGACAAGAATAAGGACATGAGTTTTACAGTTCCTGTGCGGAGTTCCTTCCTGAAGAAAAGAAATAGTCATTTGAATAGGCTTTTGTTAGAACAGGCTTTGCAACAGCAATGTCGGTGCACTGGGTGTCAATCTCCACAGATAATTAGTGATGTATTTTCAGGCTCAGAGTGATCTTCTGTATATTTTACTTTGAAAAAAAATCAATTTCATTCAAGTATCCCCGAGTTAGATACAGCACACTATACTCTAGCGTGGAAGCTTTTATGCCTGAGGCTTAGATGTAGAAGTCAGATCCAAAGAAGATTATGAATGGTTTTATGCACAACAAATGCTATTGGCAGTGTATCCAGATGGGACGATATCCAAAATCTTGAGGCAGCCTAAATGTCTAGTATCAAGAGCTAAACTAATCTCATTTTGTTGGATCTGTCAGAAAGATTTAAACTGAAACCCTCACATTTTCTAGAAAAGAAAAATAATTCTATGTCAGCAACATTCTACGTCAGCAGGGGTTAGAGTGCAGTCTTTCTCAACCTTTTTAGGTCGGGGACCTCTTGTTCAAAGTCAAAAACATTAATGACACGCTTCCATTGACTGGAAAGGAATGAAAAAACTATCAGTGAAACAGCGATAGACCTATATGTTGATGTGTCTGCTTTGAGAAGCTGACAGAGAATGTTTTGCCTTAGAACGGCCATACTGGGTCAGAACAAAGGTCCGTCTAGCCCAGTATCCTGTCTTCCAACAGTGGCCAGTGCCAGCTGCCCCAGAGGGAATGAACAGCCAACATGTAATCAGCAAGTGATCCATCCCATCACCCATTCCTAGCTTCTGGCAAACAGAGGCTAGGGACATCATCATCATCCCTGCCCATCCTGGCTAATAGCCATTGATGGATCTGTCCTCCATGAAATTATCTAGTTCTTTTTTTGAAACCTGTTATAGTCTTGGCCTCCACAGCATCCTCTGGCAAGGAGTTCCGCAGGTTGACTGTGCGTTGTGTGAAAAAATACTCTTTTGTTTGTTTTAAACCTACTGCCCATTAATTTAATTTGGTGACCCCTAGTTCTTATATTATGAGAAGGAGTAAATAACACTTCCTTATTTATTTTCTCTACACCAGGCATGATTTCATAGACCTCTATCACGTTCACCCTTAGTTGTCTCTTTTCCAAACTGAAAAGTCCCAGTCTTATTAATCTCTCCACATATGGCAGCTGTTCCATACCCCTAATAATTTTGTTGCCCTTTTCTGAACCTTTTCCAATTCCAATTAGGGCTATCGATTAATCGCAGTTAACAGACATGATTAACACACAAAAATTAATCGTGATTAAAAAAGTAATCACGATTAATCACAGTTTTAATCACACTGTTAAACAATAGAATACCAATTGAAATTTATTAAATATTTTTGGATGTTTTTTCTACATTTTCAAATATAATTATTTCAACTACAACACAGAATACGAAATGTATAGTGCTCACTTTATATTATTTTTATTACAAGTATTTGCACTGTAAAAATGATAAAGAAATAGTATTTTTCAATTCACCTCATACAGATACTGTAGTGCAATCTCTATCGTGAAAGTGCAATTTACAAATGTAGATTTTTGTTACATAACTGCATTCAAAAACAAAATAATGTAAAACTTTACAGCTTACAAGCCCACTCAGTCCTACTTCTTCTTCAGCCAATCGCTAAGAGAAATAAGTTTGTTTACATTTAACGGAGATAATGCTGTCCGCTTCTTATTTACAATGTCAACTGAAAGTGAAAACAGGCATTTGCATGGCAGTTTTGTAGCCAGCATTGCAAGGTATGTACATGCCAGATAAACTAAACATTTGTATGCCCCTTCATGCTTATATAGAGGCAATGATATTTTCTGTCTAATTATCTATCTCTTTCCTAATGATTCCCAACATCCTGTTTGCTTTTTTGACTGCCCCTGCACATTGAGTGAATGTTTTCAGAGAACTATCCACAATGACTCCAAGATCTCTTTTTGAGTGGTAACATAAAATGATGGGGTCTAAATTAGCTATGTATAGTTGGGATTATGTTTCCCAATGTGCATTACTTTGCATTCATCAACATTGAATTTCATCTGCTATTTTGTTTCCCAGTCACCCAGTTTTGAGAGATCCTCTTGCAGTCCGCCTGGGACTTACCTATCTTGAGTAGTTTTGTATCATCTGCAAATTTTACCACCTCACTGTTTACCCCTTTTTCCAGATCACTTATGAATATATTGAATAGAACTGGTCCCAGTACAGACCCCTGGGAGACACCACTATTTACCTCTCTCCATTCTGAAAACTGACCATTTCTTCCAATCCTTTGTTTCCTATCTTTTAACCAGTTACCGATTCATAAGAGGACCTTCCCCTTTATCCCATGACAGCTTACTTTGCTTGTCAAAGGCTTTCTGAAAATCTAAGTACGCTATATCCACTGAATCCTCCTTGTCCGCATGCTTGTTGACCCCCTCAAAGAATCCTAGTAGATTGGGGAGGCATGATTTCCCTTTACAAAACCCAACAAATTATGTTCATCTAGGCGTCTGACAATTTTATTATTTACTATTGTTTCAACCAGTTTGCCCGATACTGAAGTCAGGTTTACCAGCCTGTAATTGCCGGGATCACCTCTACTTAAATGGAGTACAGTATATTTTTTTAAAAGAAATGAGATTTTAATAATGACAGACCCACTAAATGCTCTGCTGCAGAATCTTCGCTGAGAAGTAGAGCAATTACTGCCATGTTTGTCGTAAGAATTTGCTGATCAGCAAAGTGAACTTTAATAAGGTTCTATTCTTTTTCTAATTCACAGGTTTCCCGCCCCCCTCCCCAAATGTTCTTTACGTGATTTACTAATATAGAAACTCAATTTTGCTCAAAGGACAGGGTTACCTCCTTCCACACCCAACACTAAATTCTCTCTCTTTGATCAGCTGGCACTGCAGAAGGCTGTTTGGGGGATTGGAAGGCTCAAGGAATCGGTTGCAGCATCTAGGTTATCAGTTAAAATTAGTAGGGACAGAAAGTCACTGTCATCAGATGGAATATGGGAAGCGAGTTAATGGACTCAGTCCCATTTCTATCATCACAAAAGCAACTTACAAGTCAATTTAAACTGGCATACTTCTTGGCAGTCTCAGAATGAGCTTCATTCATGCCTAGAGGTGGTCCTTCTAAAGTTAGAGAGAGACAACAAAAACACACTGAAGTCAGCGGAATGACTGACTTCGTGAGCTTTGGACCAGGCTGGGTAAGAGTGCGAAAGCTTGCACTGTTGACACCTGTACTATAACTACTGTGTGAATGGACAGACTCTGGCTAGCTAAAAACTGCTAGGGAGAGTTGTGCATTTGCTCGGTTTCTGTTCTTTCTTCTAGAAACCAAATTTATTTTCTATTACTGCTACTGAGACTTTTACTAAATCTGCATTTCAACATAGGTCTTTACAATGTGGCACTAAATAGACTTGGTAATCTCTCTTTGGAAAATGTGTCTGTTTTTCAGCCAAACTAATTATGCAACATCTCTGAAAGGCCACTAATCATTTCCAGTGACTGCACATGCACCTATTAGACAGGGGAAAGGATGCACTGAGCCATCAAAAGCGCTTATAATTCCATCAATATATTCTCAGAGCTCAGACAATTTGGAACTTTGGGGCAGGTTTGGACAAAGTGCTTTGAAAATGGAGTCATGGTGATAGAAAGATGAGCTGTTGCAATTAGCAGAATCCTAGAATTACAAGGGGCTAGATTCTGATACTTTTACTATGTTAGGTGGTACTTGATTTTTGCAAGCAGACCCAATATCAGCAAGGCCACTCGTAGAATGAAGAGCTACCTAGTATTAAGTAGAGGTGGCAGAGTTTGACCCAGGTACTGCTCAACACACTGATGCTGTTATACTCTGATTTTCTACTCCCAAAATTCATCTGGATATAAAGACAGCATTATATCACCTTGACAAAGTCTTGGCAGACCTAAGGACCTGCCTTCATGAGAGACTCCATCCCCTCATTTGATTGTCTCATACCTGCAAGAGCAGAAGCATGTGCTCTGGACCACCCTTGGTTTACAAGACCATCCGGCAGGACATTTTCCAGCAGGGTCCCTCACCTTTGACACTCACTCCCTTTTGTCCCCAAATAACCTGGACATGTTGACCTTCATGGCATGTTGCAAAGCAGACAGACTTTTGGGGAAGAAAGTGTGACGTGTCAATGTTTGTGGGAAAGATTGATTTTAGTTGGTATAGTAAGTTGTGGGATGGGTACAGGTGGCTCCATTTGGAGATACTGATGGATTTTATATTTGTGCCAAAAGCACCTAAAGGGTGTGGAGAGGCAATTGTTAATGAATGTATAAAGTGTAATAAACAAATAAAACAGCTGAAATAGAATACGGTTCTCAGGAACATTCAGATAAAAGTATTGATGTAACTGGGTTAGCTAGACTTTTATAATCAACACTTATTTCCGCATCTAGTCTTCAGATTCAGGAAATCAGCAAAGCTATTTATTGCAGGAAAGAATCTCACCTCATTGTCTTCATGTATTTCAATGCTGCCTTGTGCAGGGAATCTTTGTTTTCTCAAAGAGGCTCTATACAATTCACCTGAAAGGGAGAAAAAAATAGAAACTTAGCACTTTAGCATTTGGCTGTCTGATTGTTTAAAGAGATCTGTAGAGATGAGTCACTAAGAGCTTGTCTACACTTACAAGTTAATTCAGATTTAAAGTGTAATAGCTATTCCTCAGTAGCTCCATGTGTAGACAAGACATTTAGTCTGGTTTTAAATTAGAAACATTTCTGTTGGGAATCCTGTGATCAACCAGGAGCATGGACTAGGTGTCTTGCAGTTCCACATGCAACAGAATCTTTCATTCTTATAAGAACGCTTAGCTCTTATTTAGGGCATGATCCAATACTCTCTGAAGTCAGAGAGAAAGGATGATCTTTTGGTTAAGGCACTGGATTAGGACTCAGGAGAGCTGGGTTTGGTTCCAGACTGTGCCATAGATTTCAGAGATGCCAAGGCCGGAATGGACCATTGTGATCAGGTAGGCTGATCTCCTTTTTAACACAGGCCATAAACATCCCCACAATAATTTCTAAATAAGACCTTTTAGAACAGCCAATCTTGGTTTAAAAATTTTCAATGATGTAGAATCCTCCATGACACTTGGTAAGTTGTTCTAATGGTTTATTACTGTCACTATTAAAAATGTACACTTTATTTTCAGTCTGAATGTGACTAGCTTTAAATTCCAGCCATTGGATTGTGTTATACTTTTCTCTGCTAGACTAAAGAGCCCACTAGACCCCCACCCCGTTTGACCTTGGGCAAGTGACGTAATCTTTCCGTGCCTCAGTTTCCCATGTAATATTACTGCCTTTCTCCCACCTTGTTTGTCTCTTGTCAATTCAGCTTGTAAGCTTCATAGGGAAGGGACTGTCTCTCATTGTGTGTTTCTATAGCACCTAGCCCAGTAGGGCCCCGAATTCTGTTGGAGAACTACCTAGGCACTACTGTGTTGTAAACAATAATAATGGGAAGCCTCTCCTCTGGCTTCAGAATAGGCTCATAGTGCCACTAATTTCAACAAGCACAGATTATTGATAGCAACCATGCCATGTTTTATAGAAGATGGTTTCTCTCATGTCTTATTTAACCTACAGGGATAAAGACAATTATTTATACTAAAAGCACTTGTTACATTTGTTAGCAAAGGGGTTGAGGTCTGGATACAACATCCCTGGAATATTTGTTCCCCTAATTTGCATAAATATACAGCTTTAACACTCACTACATAACAAACAACAGAAGAGCAGTGAATCCAGTTATAGTCTAGTCTCAGAGTTAGATATCAAAAAACCATCCAATCACAAAGGGAAAACCATCAATTTAACGTACTTTTTGACACAATATATAAACATATCTGAGTGTGATTAGGAGCCTAGAGGTTTAACAATAGACATTTATCTAAATACTTATTCACCATCCAATTTATAAAAAAATGAAATTTCAGAGTTTTCTGGTTTGTTTTCAGTGTAAACCTTTATGCTTCAGGGCATAAGCCAATCACTAACTTGCTGTGGTCAGGAAGAAACTTCCCTTGTGGCAAGTTATTCCATAAATGTCAATTACTGGATTTCTTGTAGCTTTCTCTATATACTTACCGCTTTCAAAGAGAGAGAACACTAGATGGACCATTGGTGTGATCTTATACAGCAACACTTTTGTTCATACATTCCACAAGTGACAGACCAGTAGGTAAGCTGCATTATGCAATATATCCTCCATCCATGCCCTAATGACTGTGTCTGCTGCAGATGTGCTGAAATTATTATTCAAATGGTGCTGAAGTTTTGCAGCAAAGTTGCACTATTTCTGTTCATCTTCTCTTCTCAGAAATTGAGGGATGAAACTTGTAAATCTCCAGGATCAAAACAGATTCTCAGAAAATGTAAATTGGTAGTATTAGATGGGTTTCCTGTAATGATCCTGTCATCTCTCTCTACTGCAGCCAGGTAGATTATGACATTGGTATGGGTAAATCTAAACTTATTCTTCATTTTTTCTCCTCTGTAATAGAGGAAATCCTTGCTGATCATGTACAAATCAATTTCTTTCTTAGCTTAATAAAACGCTTCAGGTTAAGAAACAGATCTCATAAGCTACATTAACAGACCCTGTGCTTTAATCAAATTAATTGAGAGCACAAAAGTCTATAGAAATGCGGTTTTCTACATATTATTGACTCAACCTAAATTTAAATCTGCTCAATTTTCCATTTTTAGAGGAGCCCCAAATGCATGTTCTCAAAGGAAAGGAACCTATCTATTTTGGTGGTCAGGCAAGCAGAACACAAATCTGAAGACACCCTTCAGCTTCACATCATGGATTGGAGAAACTGTTCCCACTGTCCCTATGGCTAAGGAAAGGGCGAGATTCTCCAGTCTGAACATTTCAGGGGGTGTGGGGGGAGACAACCAGATTGTGAAGCCTTGCTGAGGAAGAGAAAAAAAAAATCTCACACACTGCTCAGAGCATCAAGAAATGTCTTTCCATCTAGCAACCACAATGGAAGGAGGAAAAGGAGAGAAAAGACAGACAAATATATACCAAGGGCCTCAATGAGTATTACATTCATCCTCACCTCCTGAAGGATGGCTGGCTCTAGCAAAACAGGTTGCCTGGGTAGCAATATACTAAGGATGGCAGAACTTACACATACTAGGGATGTGACAGTAACAGTCAGTGGACATGAATGGGTCTCTCCTGGTAAGCCTAGGGGAAACAAACCCCTCAAGCCTACGTGAAAAGAGAGTGTCTCACATTAAGAATTCCTTCCCCACGAGCAAACCCAGTAAGGGTCAATGGAATATCACATTGTCCATTTTGGGGGCTGCTTTTCTGCAGTATTCTTAAAAGCATTTAAAAGTAGATCTAGCAAGGCACTCTCTGGTGTCCACGCACAGTGTTCCGCACCTTTGCTCTAGCTATGTGTGTTGGTTACCTAGGAAACAGTTGTAGGGTGGTATTTGGTGTTTAAGGTAGGTTCTCATTTTCTGCTGCTGCTGCGGGTTTCTGGTGGTTGTTCTACTGTTTTTGGAGAGTTTTAAGTGGCTATGAGAGCAAAGGGGAAATGTAACTTACCAATTCTAAACAGCAAACATTTCCTCTGATCTCTCTCAGCATGACGACAGAGAATGAACGCATCACATAATGCCTCAAGCACAAGGCTTGTTTTCGTGTGTATATAAAAGCAAGCGCATACATAACACACATAGAATGCTCTTGTGAACTGGTATTGGACTAGAAACTAGACCCCCAATAAAGGACTGACAGACACTGAAAGAATTAACTGTAGGTCTCACCTTCACCCAGAAGTAGCACAAATGATCTGTTCCCCTTGCCAGAACCACACATGGGTCTCTGCACTCTTTATACCCATCGGTATGACAGCACACCGCTAATCCATTTCCAGATTATGCCATTGCCATGCTGAGCGGCCACTGGCAAATCAAAGACATTTATTCTCTGTATCTCAGTTTCTTTATATATAAAAATGGGGTAATTATGCTTGCCTTCTTTCTAGGGTTGTTGTCAGGATTAGCCAATTAATGTTTGTACCAAAACCCCCCTGCCCCCACAAAAACAAACAAACAAACAAAAAAACCCAGCAACCCTGAAACATCCAGCACACTTAGAACATAAGAACGGCCAGACTGGGTCATACCAAAGGTCCCAGTATCCTGTCTAGCCCGGTATCCTGTCTTCTGACAGTGACCAATGCCAGCTGCCCCAGAGGGAATGAACAGAAGAGGTAATCATCAAGTGATCCATCCCCTGTTGCCCATTCCCAGGACTAGCTGCTCCAAGAAGCAGTCATTTAAGGTGTCAAGGAACTTTATCTCTGTGTCCTGACTGGGCACATATCACCTCAGGACAATATGGGGATAGTTCAAAGCATAGAATCATAGAATATCTAGTCTAACCCCCTGCTCAAAGCAGGACCAATCCTCAATTTTTGCCCCAGATCCCTAAATGGCCCCTTCAAGGATTGAACTCACAACCCTGGGCTTAGCAGGCCAATGCTCAAACCACTGAGCTATCCCTCTCCGCAAATACAAATTTGCAAGGTCATAGAATATCAGGGTTGGAAGGGACCTCAGGAGGTCATCTAGTCCAACCCCCCCACTCAAAAGCAGGGCCAATCCCCAATTTTTGCCCCAGATCCCTAAATGGCCCCCTCAAGGATTGAACTGGCAACCCTGGGTTTAGCAGGCCAATGCTCAAACCACTGAGCTAAGGTCACACTTTATTATTGAGTTTTTTATTTTAATAGCCTCTCTAATCTCCCTGAGCATTTCACAGTCACTATCACCATCCTGGTCAGGTGGTCCGTAATATATCCCTACTGCTATATCCTTATTATTCAAGCATGGAATTACTACCCACAGAGATTCAATGGTGCAGTTTGGCTCATTTAAGATTTTTACTTCATTTGATTCTACACTTTTTTTCACATATAGTGCCACTACCCCCCCCCCCCCCAGCACTACCCGTTCTGTCTTTCCGATATATTTTGTACCCTGGTATTAATGTGTCCCATTGATTATTCTCATTCCACCAAGTTTCTGGGATGACTATTATATCAATATCCTCATTTAATACGAGGCACTCTAGTTCACCCATCTTATTATTTAGACTTCTAGCATTGGTATATAAGCACTTTAAAAACTTGTCAATTTTAGCTAAATATAAGTGCTTTCTGGAAACCCTAACAACATAAAAAGCAGCCATGGATTTCAAAAACTGGCTAAACTCCTAACGAAGCCAACTACTGCACGAATGTGAGCGGTGTGCAAGCCAAAAAGGATTATAGAAGGGCACTAGACATGTAGGATAAATTTTAGCTCAGTATCTATTTAATTTTATCTTAAACCTAAAACTGGAACAGGAAAACAATGGGTTAGACCATGCCAGGGGCAAGGAGCTGTGGAATCTTTACTGATAACTGGACAAGGTCTTGGGTTTACGTTTCACCTTTCGCTAGCACAGTAACACCAGTTGGCTTCGATGGGAATTGGGAGCGATCAGCATTTGG